GGGGCCGCTCGAGCCCGGGGGCCAGCCCCCGCGGACGCCCCCGCGGCTGAGCCGAGGGAGGTCGCGGGGGCGGGCTGCTATGACGAGCGTGGCGCGGAGCCTACTTAAACGTAAATATAAAAAAACGGCCCGTTGGAAAGCCTGTTCGGCTGTTCTGTGCAACGTGTGAATCAGGATTGGCACCAATGCAAGCGCCTCCAAATAACGGGGTCGTAGCTCAAATGGTAGAGCGCCCGCTTAGCATGCGGGAGGTAGGGGGATCGATGCCCTCCGACTCCAGCCTTTTTGTGTGTGTCGGGGAAGCAAAGCCCCCCTCCCCAGGAAAAATGCTGCAGGCGGCGCGGGCGGTGCAAGGACGGCGCTGCGCGCTCCACGCGCCTGCTCGTGCCGCTGCGCTGGCCGTAGTGCCACTTGAAGTCGCCCCTTGCGTGCCCGTCGAAAAGCCCTCGCAAAAATCCACAACCGGCGGACAAAGTATAGTGCCTATGTATATAGTGCCTGAGAGGCGCGGCCCCCCCCCCTTCCCCCAGTCCCCCTTGCCTCCACCACAGCACTGTGCAGTTAAGCCTCCACCAAAGCTGCAAAAAGGATGGAGTCGGAGGGCATCGATCCCCCTACCTCCCGCATGCTAAGCGGGCGCTCTACCATTTGAGCTACGACCCCGAGGGGCGCTTGCATCGGTGCACCTTCAAGTACAGACGTTGTATAGGATAGCCGAACAGGCTTTCCAACGGGCCGTTTTTTCGAGCTAGCCGGCTGGGGGAAGCGGGGCGCCAAGCAGCGCGTCGCGCTGGACGGCCTCACTGTCAAGGACGCCACGCGGCTGCAGCTCTGGCCCCTGCACCAGGAGCGGGCACGGCGCCTGCAGACTTTTGCGGCCGAGGCGCTGGGGGAGGCGGACCCCGCGGCAGCGGCACCGCCGCCGCCTGGCGCGGACGGCCCGCAGGCGCCGCCCGCCCTGGCCGCGCCACCGCCGCCGGCGCTGCCGGAGCCCAGGCGGACGCGGGCGCCCGGCGAGGTGCTGGCACTGCCGGCGCCGGCGCCGCCGCCACCGC